AGTGATTGAGTAAATCTATATTAGAGGATCTGATACAGCTCTTTTAGCTATTATTAGCTATACGGCTATTGTTGTACAAGTTCCTTTCCTCACCTAAATAGTTTGCCACACATTCCGTCGTCCCGAGCACTCTCCGCATCAAGCCGAAATCGAAAATCATTATGTCGTAGGACAAGAATTTCGTCTAAACTCGAGATTTCCTTTTTTTTCTCGAACTTCTTTTCTCACCTCGAAATCAGCTGTTTCATATGTGATATTCGATTTACACAGGAAGATATGATTATGGTGGTAAATGGAGAAAATATGCTGGAATCGGAATGCTTTGAGAAAAACTTTTGACTCTTTTACCTGAAAGAACGAGGCAAGGGCAACGGAGAGTTGGAAAAGGGTGAAGATAACGGCTAATTGCCTGTAAATTGTTTTTTCTATTCATCAATATTCAGCATTGCTTTATTCATACAATTTACATTATCTAGTATTCATTAAAAAGTATAACCAGAAGCTTCGCAGCAAAAAGCAAAAGAATTTGCGGCGACAGGAGGCGAACCCGCGACCTCTCTCTTCCGTGAAAGACGCGTGCGCTAACCATTCGGCCATGCTCTAGTGGGTAGCGCGGTGCGAGCGCACTTGTCTATAACCCACACGACCCGGGTTCGACTCCCGCCCACGTCAGCACTTTTGGTTTTTTAAAAATTTAGACAGACAGACGTCTTAGTTCCTTTATATATAGTAGATATTATCTCAAAGCAAACCTATTCGCTAATCGATATCCGCACAGACTTGAGTCTTTCTCCTCGATCAGCAGACACCACAAAAGTCTCATGCGTCGAGGAAAAGCTGGAAATTTTTTTGAAGTAATACTGAGCAATCAGAAAAAGCACATGAATCTTTACAAGCCATTTTGTACACCCAAAAACGAATACATTAATGGCAATACAACAATATGTTCACTCTTATACCAAATTCATTATGAGATTATCACAAAACTCAACTCTAAAAGATGTTTAAGGTATCGTAGTTCTGTTACAGTAGGGCCAGTTACTGTATGCTTTATTAAGCTGTAATGAGACAGACTATCTTTATTAAGCTGTAAAAATAGCACTAGCTTCAGTTGAAAAATTAAATACAGACATGGTTTGCATTGAGCAACTTTTCCGGGATACTGTAATGAGACAGACTGTCGTAACTTTGCAGTATCTTTGATTAAACTTTACTTATAAATTGTACCAGCCACAAAATGGGCCAAAATTAAATATCAAGCTTTATTAATATTATGAACCTTTTTTTAGAAGGGATAAGGAAAGAGGTGAGAGGGGAAAAGACAGGTGAAGCGCTGTGTCTACCAAAAAATATCAACGTTTTTTCTTGCGCGGTCAATATCCCCTAAAACAGGTGCAAAATATTTAGTGATCCCAATTTGGAAGTATTTTAAAAGATCAGGAAACTATTTTGACATCTAGTTGTTGGGGGTAGGCTAGTTTCCGCAATTTTTTTTGCGCAACAGGGTCATTTGCGCAACTCACCATAACTTTCTTCTAAGTGGGCTAATCTTTATGATTTTGATTTCATTTTGTTGCACTTATTGAGATCTACAAAATGAAACCAAAATCATAAAGATTGGTCCCCTTGGAAGAAAGTTATGGCGAGTTGCGCAAACGACCCTGTTGCGCAAATGACCATGTTGCGCAAAAAAAAATTGCGGAAACTAGCCTACCCCAGTTGTTGTGTTCGCGAAAGAATATGAAATGAATTTGTTCAAATGTTCCAATTGTGAAAGGGTAAATGAGAAAATGAAGACCTGAAAGAAAATGGGAAGACGACTTGGGAAGCGAATTTTTGCGCCCACCACTAATTAGAGGGATTTGGTGATGGTGGAAATGGGGAGGTGAAAGGGTAAAGAGACTGGGACAGGGTTCTTCGCTGCACATAGCTTTTTCTTCATTTGTCAAATTGATTCACTTCCCAGTTCCTTGTTTGATTTAACAGTCAAAAAACCAATCATAGATCTCACCATGGCTCACTATTTTGAATTCAAGCACACTAGAGTGTGCTCCGCTTGATCAAGCTTATAAAACATGTCACTTCTTTAAAGCTTTTTAAAGTCAACAACTTTTAATGCTCTAGTTGCTTGCTCTAGTTTTTGTATAATCTACGATTAGTATTTTGTGCTAGTCCACAAAGGATACAAAAATGTTCCAATTGTGAATATTCCAATTCCAATTGTTCCAATAAAAAGATCATATAAACGAGCGGATTTCGGTAGCTGGAATCAGTTATCTGGGATTGAAAGATATGGAGATATGGAGAACATCTTATGCTATGGAGAACATCTTATGCTCATGGTTTTTATGAACTTATTGGAATGATGGCAGATGTGCGATGGGATGAGTGCACATCACTTGATCCCATCGAAGATTCAGAATTTCCCATCCTTTCATCGAATTCTTCTCCCCAACCCACCCACCAACATGTCCACTCTCATTATGTGACAAGTGGTTGTTGGAGGTCCAACTGAGAAGATATCCACCCACCGAAAGACCCGGAAAAAATCTGCACGACAATTATCGACCAAAGAGGGGAAAACTCGCGAAGATCGAAATGTAAAAAGTAAAATAAGTCCGTTTTATCCGTGTTAGCGTAAATTTATTTTGAAATAGAAAACCACAGACACATTTCTAAATTCTGATTGTGATTGAATTCTTTACAGTAATTTCTATTAAGCACCAAACTTTGTAGTGAAATCTATGAAAAAAAAGAGATAAAGCAAGTTCAATTCTTTTAAATATCTTAATAAAGTCCAAAAATCAGCAGAGCGGAGTTTGCAATGGTTTCAAATATTATCAAAAGTGTCTCTTCAAAACTCCAATCCCCACGAGAGATTCCTAATGAGCCGGCGTTGATTATGGGGTTGAATTGGATGTGGAAAAAAAAACAAATTTTCACCGAATTCACGTCAAAATAGCAGCAAAGAGCAATAATTTCTAGAGGATAAACAAATGGGAAAACAAATGGGAAAACAAGTGAAGATACGTGATAGAGTTTGTGATTTGAAAAGAAAATACAAAATTACCTAGACTTGTTTTCGAGAAAATTCGTGCCAAATAGAAAAGACCGCTGAAAAGATTACGGTATATTTTTGAGCATTTTGGGGGAGTGGGACAAATGCGACCTTTTTTTTGCGCACCCGGACATTTGCGCACCTTTTTTTCCGCACCTTGCCCATTAGCGCACCTTTTTTCGCGTTTTAAAAAGCTCTAAAAAGCTAATATTAACCAATTTCTATTCCAAAAGTTGTTTTTCTAGGTAATTTGAGGGTGTCGAATTCAAATTTTGACATAACAGAGCGTGTGGAAACAAACGGACGGAGTTATACAAAGAGAAAGATCGACAATTTTCTGTAATTTTATCTAGCCGTTTTGTCTTTCGAATTGGTTCCACACGCTCTGTTATGTCAAAATTTGCGTTCGACACCCTCAAATTACCTAGAAAAACAACTCTTGGAATAGAAATTGGTTAATATTAGCTTTTTAGAGCTTTTTTAAAACGCGAAAAAAGGTGCGCTAATGGGCAAGGTGCGGAAAAAAAGGTGCGCAAAAAAAAGGTCGCATTTGTCCCACTCCCCATTTTGGCGATGCTTTTCTAACGTAATTCTTCCCTATTTTTCACTCGATTTTATCAAAAGGCAAAAGAAATAAAGATTAGAGAGATTTCTATAAAAGTTAGTGTCAAATAGAAGCCTTTGGATGCATTGAATATCTGAAATTTGTGGCGTCTTTTTTACCGTTATTCCTTTTCTTATTTTGCACTAACGATAAGCTTAATAAGTCTCAATGCAACTCTAGATGAAAGATGATAAGCCGAAATAGGGGTATGCGAATGATCATAGACATATCCAATGAAGTGTGGTCCGGACATAAACTCCCTCGCGGTCGAGTGAACGATTTGTCCAAAATATGGCAACGGAAATCCCCGAATTCCCTGTGAGAAGAAAAGATTCCCTTCCCTTCTATTTCAATCGTTTTTCTTTTCTTTTTGAAATCGAGGAACAACTCGAATTGAATCTCATTTTTGGGCGCTTGAGTCGGTTGGTTTCTTTGAGACTTTATTGCACTCAAATAGGGACGTCCGTTGAAAAAAAGAACACAGAAAGCGAACACCCAACCAGAAGTTGGTGGAGGGGAAGATTTTGAAAACAATTCTCAAAAGCCCAGCAAAAACTTGGTAAGTACAAATAAATATGTTAGGGTGACACGTGAGCTAGTACAAATCCATTGAAAACAGCTAGGGATCTAGCTACAATTCTGAGCCAAATCTCTCAAAAAATAAGACTTCACTAGGTATTAAGGGTTTTCCACTAAATAATGCATTTTCTAAACTATTTTTAAATGATTTAGAAAACGTCAATTTTTAAAAACTATCGTAATCTAGCCTCGAGATTTTGCTTTTGCCTGACTTAATGAGGGTTCACAACGACTACTGGAAGCAATCAAAGATGGAGTCAAGATGATAATAGTTTAAAAAATTTCCGAACTTTACAAAACAAATTATTCTCGCTAAATTAAGAATACAATATTTCGATTGAATACTTTTTAAGTAAAGAGAAACTACGTAAAAGGAATATGTTCCGTTTCTGTTTAACATCATAATCTAGTCATGCTACAATTCTGACTACAATTCATATTTACAAGGAAAAGGATATGCAGTTAAATTGCCCTATTCAAAACAAGGAAGCTATTCGAATATATTCAAAAAAAAGATTTTCATCTCAAAGAATCAGTGCCCATTATAGCAAATAGGGCGACAAATGAAAACTGTGATTTGTGAAAGGTAATTGCCATTTTACATCTTTGAATTCAAATATCAAAGTATTTTTTTTTCTAAGTTACTTGCAAAACTTTTGTGATTTCGAATAAAATCTCCATAAAGATTCAAGATTTTTCTTTTAAATGAAGGTGAAGAGCTTATCATCGTGGTGTTCGATGTAGGACATCACCGTGTTATAGCAAAGCTAAAAAGATGAATATATGCAAAATAGGAAAATGAAAGAAATTACTTGGATGACATTCGTGGAAATTACTTGGATGAAAGGACGCGCCATTAATGGGGCAAACATCTGAAAAAAATAGTTCTTAATCTATTAAAAAGTGTGAAAATAAAAAAAAAACTAACCAAAAGTTGATGAATTGGAAGGGGGGCCAGGTGCACACGTCAAGGACGAAAATTTGGTGCAACACTCGCGCAGAGTTTCGATCACTGTTTTCCCTTCAAGCAAAACAGTCTAAACAATAGAGTGTCACTTTTAAATGTTTAGCTTTTACAATAAAAATTTGGTACTTGAAATGAAAAGATTTGCAATTACTAAAATATTAAAAGAACTCACTCCATAAATGGTAGTGCCTGAAAACGTAGGTGCCGTAACGGTATCAAGGAAACACTTTTGCAAAACTATCGCCAAACGGCCGTCTCTGAATCACAAGAGTTGAGATTTAAACAGACAAAAAAAAGCCTGTATTTAACATTAAAGTCCATCTACCAATACAGAAAATCAAGCCTGGGTTCTTGCAAAAATCCGATTAAAGCCATTCTGGACAAAACGAAGAACGTATTAACACTTTTAAATCTCCTTACCTGGCAGTTCTGACTGTATCCCACAGTTTCGTTGGATCGCCCGGTATCCATTCCTTATGCAGCAACTGTTGCAAAATGTCTCCGCCACCCAAAGTGCAAATGCGTATTCACAAGTAGAGCGAGTCTAAAAACAGAAATAGCAATAAAATAATGAGATCAACCATTGAGCTTTTAACGTTCGCCCAAATACTAACAATATACTAACAACAAATATCACCCTTTTGACAAGTATTCACATAATTGTGAGCCGTCATTTTCTAAAGCCAAAAATAAACAATTAAATATAAGATCAAAACTTACAAAAAATCCGCAGCTTATAGGAAAAGAACTGAGTAAAATAGATGAAACTGAAAATGAAGAGCAAAAATCGCGTTCTTCATTTGCTACCCATCCAAATCGAATCGATTTCTTATACGCAAATTTGTACTCTTGATTTAAATTCTCGAAAGGTTTCTTTATCCACATGCGCGTATGTATCGTGCAGTTTTATGTGGTTTATCACAATTTATTATTCGAAAAACAAGTTCAAATCTTCTATCAATGCTTTCAAAAAGTTACAATGCGATTAACCTAACTTCATAACAGATCTCTTTTCAATCAATAACAAGAAGTTAAACCCATTTGACTAGAGTCTCTATTAAGTAAAAATTGTTTTAATCCCTCCACTGCTCTCTGTTTATGATCATTCGAATTGCTGAATAAAGGTCCTTCTCCACAAAATCGGGTTTCTGAAAAAAAATATAAATTATCTATTGCAACTTGTGTATTTCATTACCTCAAGCATTTCACGCTCCTTGACTGAAAGTTCTTGAACAAGTTTACTGATCGGCATTACAGTTCCATTAATCTTGCAACCCTCGCGATAAACACCGGTTTCTAAATAATATTTTGTAAAGATAAAGTTAAATAAAAAATCTCACCAACTAAAACACTAATGCATTCGTCTACATTTTCTCGCGTCCGTTGCGAGGCCGGGCCATCATCTTCGAGTGTATCCAAGTTGTAATGATCAAATCTAAAAAGCATATTTTTAAAAATTAATTATATGAGCGGTTTAATCAGTATAGCAAATAAGCGGTTAACCAAGCACCATACATTCACTACCAAGCTCAAAGCTATCATGGTTAGAGGCATATGGGGGATTAGTTAGAACGTGTTAGGACGACCAGGGTACCTCAGCTGTGGGCTCGCCATCCCTGCGAGACCCCGTTGTGACAAATATTGAGAAGTTGAGGCCGGCTTTATAGAGTTTGACGACGGTAAAGTATTACCACCGTGATTTTCAGTACTTTCCGCTTTTACTTCTTCAACTAGAATGGCTGAAGATGGGAAAGTTGACAAAGGTCGAATGGGCACAGGCGCTGGAGACCTATCATCCAAAATGTTTCATCACAAAACATAAGTATAATCGAAACTTTGAGTCAAATCAGCAAACTGCATGCAAGATTTGCCCTTGCATTGCATACAAAACGTTTACATTCACGTTCCATGCAGAATATCCAAAAAAGTGCTCACCTTCCTTTCCCGCCGTGTTGTAGATAACGATTATAAAGGTTAGAGCCAAGTATATCAGATAACGGATTATCTCTAAATTTTTATGATTCAGTTTAAATAAAAAAATAAATTACCCAATTACGTAAACCGCTTTAGGTGGGGGTTGTTGCAGATCGTTAGCCATATCTTGTAAGCAATGCGTAGCATGCAAGTAAGAAACCTCAGTTGGTTTACCCAAAACAGCCTAAATAAAAGCGTGAATGGTAAAAAGCGTAAACTAAATATTTCATTTTGAGCTCACCGTGTACCGAAGATCCCTTCCCGTTAATTTTCCATACATCGCCTCAAGGCAAGTCAAGAAACTACCATGCCCAATTCTGCAAAATCCTGTCGTTAGATTCTCAAAGTCTTCAAAATTTACCTTGGTAAGTTTACTCCCTTTTCCGCCATCCAAACCATATCAACGTTACATGCAAGAAGTGGTAAATTTGGATATTGAATGCTCCCGCGTTTGTATTGAAGACTGGCTAAAGTATCATAACACATGTAATACGTTTGATTTTATTGCCTTTAAACTGATGTTTTTAAAAAATACCTGGATCACCACCAGTGATCAAAACATCAAGCAAAAGCTGAAGTGCAGATTCCCAATGAAGAGGTTCACCAAGCAATACGATAGCTAAACGTCTACTCGTTATAAAAAAGCACCCAAGTATCTTTACCCTCAATCGGTCGGAAATCTTCTGGCGGATGCCAGTTAAGCTCATCAAATTTTCTTCTCGAGAAATCGACACAATCAAGATGTGGGAAAAGCGTGCGCAAATCATCCAAAGTTATGATTTGCTTGAAGCCAAGACTAAAATGTACAATTAATCTAATAAATAGTTAGATGCTTACTTTTGAGCAATTGTGTTAACAGGACCTTGTCCTACCTAAATTTAATTTCGCTATGCAACCACCCATACCAAAGACTTACCACAAGCACCTTCTTATCGTGGAATTGTGTGAACATTCGCAAAGGACTGTGAGCCATCACGACTTGTTGAGCTCGTATCTAAACAATTGGTTTGCAAAAAAAACCAAAAAAGTCGAATAAAAAGTCGAATAAAAACTCACTTCAACTTTTAAATGCTGTGAGAGTGAATTCGCCTTAGCTGCCCGTAAAGAATTTGAACCGTTTGTCAGAAAAACCTAAATTAATAGTCAATCAAAGCCACAAAAGTACTAATTACCGTAGGAATTTTAAAGTTGCCCTTTTCATCTGTTATAAGGCGAAAAGCATCGGGGACTCGTGGGAGAACATCACGGCTAAACTTTTTATAAAAATTTAGATTAGATAGATAGATTTCTTTTTTATAAAAGCATTGGCGAATAAACGTATGTTTTATTCTTTTAATATTAAGCAAAACCATATACAAAGAAAAAGGTGAAGCATTTTAGATAAAATCATAAAGTTTACCCGCGCAGCAGCACTCCATCGATGTCCAAAACTATGCCAAATGGTGTATTCTAAAAAACAAGTTAAATCAGCATATTTTAATGGAACATACTACATCAAAAGCCGCAGTAGTACTTGAGGAGCAAGTTGGAAGAGACAACAACCTTGGGACTCGTAGAAATTTAGTTATTCCGCGGCAACTCATCTTTGACGCCGATTAATAACCCGTCGTCATCCAAATTACTAAATTATAATCATTTTTTTCGGAATAACCCTGAGCAATCAAAAACGTAATAAAGAAAAAGAATCATGAATCCTTTATATATCTATTTAAATCAAACGTTCTTGCGTCTACCCGCAAGTGGTGGAATCGCAGGAAACCGATTTTTGGTCGCACACCTACATCAAAATACAAGAGGCCTTTTCAGCTTGCGCAATCAAATAAAATATCAAGTGCATTTTGCGAATACCATCAAAAACAAAGCCCTTTTAAAATTTTTATCAGCTAAAAATAACTGTAATAAAGACATCAACGAGGTAAGAGAAATTCAATAATTGGTAGGGCGTGGTTATTGCCAGAGTAGAGATGGCGCGTCTGGAAAGCTTCTCTATTTCTCTCCATTTTCCTCAATCCTTGTCTCAAACACAGAGACGCAGAGCGTTTTTTTCTTTGAAAAAGTAGCCAAAGCGGAGAACTGAGAACTGAGACATGAGGAAACAAAATGAGAAATGGCAAAATGAGCAGACAAACAGGGAGGGGTCAGGAATATCAATTTTTACTGAATTTAAGATATAAATGAGCATTGAAGCTACAACTGACATAATCATTGAGCTTTTAAGCAGAGGTCACGACGCTAACTGGGAAAATAGCATGAAGATCACAATGTTTGATGAATTATACCCGAACTGCAAGATAAAGAGAAAGTAGCATCAAAGAATTACTAGTTAGATCTGCGTGACGTCGATAGTTCCATTCGTGTCTAAATTTGGAATTCGGAGTAACACTAATAGTAAGCTCATAAAAAAAAATAACCACTCACCGAGAAATTCTTTCCAATTGATGTTCAAATCGCTCACTTTCACTAATGACCTGAATTCAATTCAATTCAAACAATTGCTACCCTGGACTTACATCAAAATGAAGCACTCTCCAGAAGCTGGTTCAAGAATCTAAAAATTCTAACTTCAATCATTTAATTAAGTAGATTTAAATTAAACAGACTCTAGTATAAGGAAACGTACAGAAGTCACTAAAGAACACATAAAATACCTCAAACTCCACGCTATCCGGATTCACTTGTGATGGAAATTGTTTAATGTCGCAAACAAATAGTTCCGTTCGGTTCTCATTTCCTTTCTTTTTCCTTTTTGCCGTTTGTACCTATACTTTATTCAAGATAAAGTGGGCATAAAAAGACACAGAAGTCATACATCACCAAACACCAAAGGCAAATAAAATTTACAAAGAAATAGGTTACCTCTAGATTGAAGGCAAGGCTGTGAGAAGTAATCTCAAACTTGGTAAAGCGTCCATTGCTTAGCAAACGTGATGGAGAAGAAGGCTAAAAAAAGCAAATTTATAAAGTTTTTTTATTAAAGCTGTACCTTTTTGAAGATCGTTACAATGCTGTTCAACAAGCTTTTGCGCTTCTTAAGACCATGCGCTTTTAGCATCAATTGCACCTAAATTAGATTACTAAACAGATTTTGGGGATGTGCCGAATTAATCCAAGCCATTTAAAACTCAAAAGTTCTTGTAATAAAACGTAAACAGGTTCGTGAATCTGCCCTAATTAATGATTAACAATTTAACTCCCAAATATGTAACCTTAGTTCCGCTATCTTTGAGAATCGAGACGCTGACGGAGCGAGCTCCTGGATCTTCTTCACTGCTGCTTGATTTGCGCGACATTTCGAGTTTTACCTAAGAATGCTAAATTGATTAAGCATAAAAAAGATACGATGCGTTAAATAAATGAAAACAATAACAAGATTTTCAACAACAAACGATAAGAGCCTTTTAGTAGACAGGGTGGAATTTTTTTATTAGCGCTTTCTTATAGCCCCGTAACAACTATCCATACGCACATCTTTCATAAAAACATGCGCTCCAGATGGCTAGCCAGTCATCCATAAAACAAATGGGAAAGCTACGAGCGCTGAGGTCTAGAAAATCGATGCTTTTGCAAAACACTGGAAAGGATCCGAAGAAATCACTTTAAGAAGAGAGAAGCCCCCATGGGAGGCCTTGATAGAATCCAATATCCGGGACAGCTTTCCTTGGCCCCTAAACACGAAAGGAGGCCGTCAGCACAAGACGGAAAGAATGACTCAAGGACGGCAGCATAAAATATGAAGCAACAAGGACAGAAAGGAGTGGGCTTTCTAACCAAAAATGCTGAAGAGTTCAGTGAAAGGCCAAATCGATAACAAAACCCGTTCCAACAACCGCTACAACGCGCATTCTCAGGCTCCATTATAAAGTTAGATACGCAAGAGTGCCCTTTAACAGTAAAAGACCTTGAAATCATTGGAAACTGTAGGAATTTTTAAAAAATAAATTTTTGATTTATTTCAACTAATGACAGGGACTCTAATTAAAGGAGAGTCGATCAATCCCCGTGAGTGCTGTGGGTGTCGGGCGCAGCGCATCTCAAGTGGGTATCCCGGTGAATCAAGTGAATGCAACTCGAGCCCCAAAGAGCAAACTCAAACTCGCCGCACAACATAATGAACTGAACTCTTCTATCCCTCAGTCGTATGAAAAAAGAAATTGAAAAGGGGCAGAATAGCCACCACCTCGAAGCCTTCGTCGCTTGGTGATTCATAGAATACAGAAATATCAACATGGTCTCCGATTGGGTAAGCCATGAGTCATTAATTTCATCATAGCCTTGATCAATAGGGTGCGAAACTAAATACAAAAACTGTTGAAATAATCACTCGGCTATTGAACTACGTGCTGCCATGATTTCTTCGCTAACTTGAGAAAAGCTCGAAAAATATTTCATAACACCAAAGTGTGAAGAACCGACGAGGAATTTAATCTTCGAACAAATATAGCAAGAAGCATTGGGAGAAAGGGGATGGGGCGACGGAGGAACGGAAAAAGCACAACCGAGCATTGTTCCGCCCATCATTGATTTTTCACAGGATGAGGTAGTTTTACAAGTGCACGAATTGCTTACAAAAACGGTTGCTGGAAGACAATCTTACAGCAAAAATTCACCAGAAATTAGCTTTCTGCAAAATTTTTGCTTTGGGCCAAGTGCTGTGGGTTCTGTGCGCATCGTTTCGTTATTGATTCAGACGTCCCCGTTTCCCTTTCCCTTTCCCTACTCTCAGGCGCTACAAAATGACACGCAAACCAAAGGAAATCTGGCAATTAGCCTTATTTCGTCTCCGGGCAGCCCCTTTAACAATCTTTTAATTTCAAAACTAAAAGAAACCCACGAACCAAGAGTGTCCAAGAAGCAAAACGAGTGAGAAAAAGATCGATCACAATCAACGCTTTACACAAAGCTGCACGCGTTTAGCAAGTTGTCATTTCAAAAGTGTCACTTGGAAGAATAAAAAAGGTTGCTCCAAAAAGTGCTATATAATGAAAGGAACCAGAATAAGATATTCAGCTATTGCATTGAATTTTAAATTCAATCAAATAGAGTTATTTAATGATTCGTGTCATTGCTCATTCTAAAATAGTTTTTAACCGAATGGCTGAATATTTATAGAACTGATAAAGAGAAAAATAAAGCCCAGCAAATGTCGAGCAGGGGTTGAGATTTTGGGGTGACTAAATGACTGACGAAGCGTTGACCATCAATCACCCGTCGAAATTTCACCCATCTTTCTTTCGCTCGTTCGCAGATTGTCCCCCTCTTTGCCGCACACCCCTATTCTCAACCGGTTGCCCATTTTTCAAGGTGCGACCGCACTGTCACCACCATTTTTGGGTTAAGATTGACTAATTGGTAGAGAAAAAGAGCGCTCGCGAAAGATCGCGCCATGTGATTGCACCAATCCCATTGAAATGGCTCTATTTCTGAGAGTTTTTCTTTGGGATCTGATCACTGAATAATTTTAATTTGTTAACAGCTGATTTGTTCAGTATAATTGCCTAAAAATGACCTACAAAAAGCTTGAGCAATTAACCATCGGAAAAAAAAAACTGGGGAATTTTTGGATAATGTAATATCGCGCTCAAATTAGAATCGAAACTAGAATTAGATGGGTAATAGGAGGATTGGATACCGAGAAAATTGCACATTAGTGTTGTTGGATGAGTGTATGGATGAATAGAGGGGGAACTCCGCTCAAGGACACCCACACCCATATTAGGGAAACGAGTCGAACACGACAGGAGAGAAAATGGGGAAATCCTTTCCATTCCTCTAATCAGCAATACTTATTGCTATTGAACAAGATTTCTCAATTGGTTGTCTTTTGAAAGAAATTTTAAATGCGTGGTATTAATGAGATGTTATCAGCTGAAACTGTTGCAAGAAAATTGAACCATTTATTAAAACCCGTTAGAACGTCACCAAAAAAGTATAGTTGAGGAAATTGAGGAAAAATTTATCGACTATCGACTGAGGAAATTTCAAAATTCATTCGTTAAATCCTGTTAAAATTTCTTCGATCAATTTAGCAACAACTAGAACATTGACAGAATTTCCAAGGGTTCTGTATAATTGTTTGGAAGTTGTAGAATGAGGCCAAGTGAACTCTTCGGGAAAACACATCAGGTTAGCTACCTGAAAGGCTTGCTGTAATAGGTTGTTTACCTTTATTAGAACTGAACTTGGAAATGGAAATAGTTACGGTACGGTAAATACTACCGTAATCTACTACCGTAACCTCTTGAACTTTAGTACTTCTTGGACTGAAATTGGCAAATGCTTAAAAGTTTATGAGTCTTTTTATCCACGAACCTCTCTTGGTGACAATAGCCGGACTTTTGCATTTTCGATAGCACTTGACAAGATTCGATTTTCTTCAATCTAAATTTTGCATATACCAATATTTCATTGTGAATCAAACCATATTTTCATCACTCGTAAAATACGAACCACATCCCGTCTTATAAACACCATATGATTTGGTGAAACAGGCAGATCGTCTTGAGTTTGAACTCACAGCATCGATAGAAGAGGCAAATCTAAGAATGACTTCGATAAACAGTTTTGAAAAACTTTACCTATTCAGTTCTTGATAATCCAAAATCAAAGATGAGTTATCGACTCCTTTCTCAATAAAATCTTCAATGCCAGCAATTTCCTCAACACAACTTTTGTGAGTTTTCAAAATTGTCGATGTGGAATGCGAGCTTGAAGATTGCAATGAGGTCAAGCAGTAATATCTTGGGCGAGTATTCGGGATTCCAAATTGCATTGGGGAGAGGATATATTCCTAAAGCTTGTTATCTTTCAAAGAAGTTTGAAAGAACTTTTTGAGTATACTATATTTCCCCACCTTTACCCCATATCCCATTCCCCGTAGACACTCCAAGAGATCCGCATGTACAGTTGAAGTTTCAAAGCCGACCACGTTTTCGACAAAAACATGTCTAAAGCTGGAACTTTATACGGCCAACTCGATTCTACTAACCTTGGTGGTTTGTTCATTAAAGCAATCTTTCGCAGTAATTCCTTCAATGAGTCACATCGACGATCCTCTGCTCCTAATTGTCGCCCTTTTTGTGTAAACGGTTGACATGGAGGGCTCATCGTCCACAAATCAGCCTCAAACTTGTCCAACTGTTGCACAGATATTGCCTAAAATCATTTTATACAATTCAACTTATTTTTTAAAAGACTTCAATGTTATTTTGAAGGAGTTGAGTTTCGGGGAAATTGTGTGCATAAATTTGATTGGCCGTTGTATTGATGTCAATTGCGGCAATGACTTTGAATGAGAATCCCGAACCTAGATTTATAAAAACTATAAAAATAGAGTTTAATTGAAAGTTACGTTTCAGTGCATAGTGCATCCCGCCAATGCCAGAGTAGAACTCAACGACTCGTACGGGATTTGAATCCATTCGAATACTGTAACTTATATATATATATATACGCTTTATTCAGGGGCGAATAGAAGCGAATCAGATAATCATAACCGCATATAACATATTGCTAAAATACTTTCACAAAAAAGAGAGAAAACTAAAAATATTACAGTAAGTTACAGTTCGGAAACACAGGTACAAAAAGATTAAATATAAGGCAGATTTGACATGGCAATAAGATCTAATTCGTTTACAGATACTTTGAATTTTCCTACAGACGAGAAGATACCAGACGAGAGCTTATTCCAAACCCTACTAATACGGTTCGCAAAAGAATTATAAAGGGAAAGATGAAGATGATGAGAACCGACCGAAATTTGATAAGGATGACTACGTGTACTTCTAGGAATTTCCACAATTTTCAAGAGGCTTTGAAATTCTGGATGCGACTTAGGGTGGAAAAGAATTTTATAGCAAAAAATAAGATCGAAGTAAATACGGCGATATAAAGGGGTTTTAAATCAAAAACTATAAGTCTAGTCTCATAATTTGGAATAAGAGAAGAAGGGAAACAACAAGTGTATGCTTTTTAGTGAAACGCCGTTGGACATTTTCAACCAAGGTGATAAGTTTCTTAATGGAAGGTGACCATACGATGGTGGCATACTCGAGCCAAGGCCGGCAATAGGTTATAAAAGCCCTGCGATAAGTTGCGATTTTAGGGAAACAAATGGCGCGAAAAATTATGTTAGAAATTCTAGAAGCTTTTTTGGAAATGTAGTTTATGTGAGGATCAAATTTTAGAGAGGGAACTAACAGTATACCAAGATCTTTTACAGGATCATCGGTCAATCCTTGTAGTAATTGTAGGTCCTCCAAATTTAAAGGGATATGTAATGAACCAAATGTAACGTGTTTCCATTTGTCCGGCGCAATGTTAAGTTTCCAAAATTTACTCCACAGAAGGATCGAATCAAGATCCTTCTGGAGAAGATTAAAATCAGGAATGGGGCTCTGGAACGGAAGTACCCTATAAATTTTAAGGTCATCGGCGTAGAGTCGGACTTTTGTGCCTAGGGAGATCGAACTGTTAATGTCATTAATATAAATAAGGAAAAGAAGAGGACCAAGAACCCTCCCTTGGGGCACTCCACTACTAATGGGGAAGTCATTCGAAAAGGTAGAGCCTAAGCGGACGCGAAAAGTCATTTCTGTAAGCCAATTTGCAATCCAAATAGTGATGGATATGGGGAGACCTAGTGAATTTAGTTTGGCGATTAAAAATCTATGATTAACAGAATCGAATGCTTTGGAAAAATCAATGAAAACGCAGCTAGTTTGATCGTTTTTGGCTTTAGCTAGAAGCCAGTCATGCGCACAGAGAACTAGCTGGTCGGAGGTAGAGCGGTTTTTACGAAAGCCGAGTTGATTTTTATCAATTAGATTATGTTCATTTAGATAATGCATAATGTGGTCGCGAATAATTATTTCTAAGACTTTACAAATGGAGTAGGTGAGCGCGATGGGTCTATAATTTGCAAGCGCGTTCCGATCTCCTTTCTTAAAAAGTGGCGAAATCGTTGAGTCTTTCCAAAATCTTAGGGATCTTAGCCGTTAGAAGTGACATATTAAAAAGTTTAGCAAGTAGTGGTGATATTTGAAACTTAGTTTTCCGTATAACAAAAGAGGGAATTCCGTCTGGAGTGTAAGAAATCTTATTGCTAAGCTTACTAATTGCTGTTTCGACAAGTCTTGGTGTGACGATTAGGGCTGCGCAAGTATGTGCTGGGGCGGGAAGAGCAGGGATGCAACTACCATCGTCAACTACAAAAACACTGGAGAAATATTGAGCAAAGGAATTAGCAATTTTGTGATTTTCGAAAATCAACGAGTTGCGAAGGGGGTCAAATATACATTTAATAGAGGAATCGTGGTTTGGGTTAATCTTAGAATAGACGTATGAGTAAAAAGCTTTGGGACTAGGACTAAAAACGGCTTTCCGTTCAATATTGGCCTCAAATTTCTTGACAAACTTAGTTAGCTTGTTTTCTAGATATGCGTAATGGGGGAATCGCGATAACGCCAAGCTGTTTCTAACCTTTGCCTAGCTCGAGATATGTGACTGGGGTAAGAAAAGGTAGACCTGGTTGAAATAGGTACATTTTCGTCCAACAGCGATTTCATCTCTTCAAAGAAGTCAGCATAACACTCGTTGATGTCCATCTCTAATCGGGGAAGAAACCTTGCATTGTAGAGCGCTAAAGAAAGACAGACAGCACCGAAATTACCTCTCCCAAAAGGCACGGTTACCATCATCCGGTCCTTTTAGAGAGGTAAAATGATGCAGAATTAAATTAAAAGACAGAAAAATGGTCGGCACCACCAAAGGGAGGACAAGGGAAAAAAGCTGAAATTAAATGAGGGGAATCGGTTAAAACTAGGTCTAAAATATGCGAACTTTTCCTGAAAGTAGAGAATTTGTTTAAAATTTCTAAGCTATTGGCTGACAGGAAGTTTTCTAAATGTGGAAAACGTGATAAATTAGGTAAAAGTCCGAAACCGTTAAAGGAAAATTAAAATCGCCAAGAAGGAAATTTGGATGACTTGGTAGAGTAATCTTCAAGAAATGTAAAAAGATGAAAAGAGCCCTGGTTGTTAACATGTGGGGAGACGATAAACAATAAAGATACGCGAGGGGGAATCTGAATGAGCGAATATATCAACCATGATTATCTCGCAACCTGGGACTGATTGACTAGTAACAGGGATAAAGTTATAAGAACGGCGAATGAATAGGATAACACCACCACCTCGAACTTTGATATCATTAAAGATACGGTCACAACGAATTATGGAATAGTTAGAGGCGGGATCTAAGATAGAAGATGGAGTGTTTTCATTCAGCCAATTCTCACAAAAGGCAAAAACATCGTAAGAGAGATCTGGACAAAAATTGCACGTAACTAAGACGTTTTTGTGAAATTATTGAGTCAACATTTGCAAAGAGAAACGAAACAGTCGTTACGGGGGAAATGTTCCAGCTTATCCTGAAGTGGGCGAGTCGATTTCTAGAGGGAGCGGCGAGTCTTGTGATTCCATCCTGGTAAATTTTGCTGCTGGGCTCGTGTTCGGCGTGTTCGTGGTAGGCAACTTTGCGATGATCGCTCCTCCGGTCCCATTTCTGGATACAATTTTGCGCTTCACAAAAGATCCTTGGCCATTTTTCACTCCATTGGCTACTTCAAGACTGTTTTCCTTTATCATTCTTCCCAGATCCTTTTGGCCTTCCTCGCTTCTTCTCGGAAACGAAGATGACTGAGTTGCAAGGGGCTAAATTCCTTTTGTCTGCAACGATTTCGATAGCTTCTTCATCAACTTGTGTCGCAACATCAATTTTAGTTTTGAGGACATCACAATCCATTGTTTTCCTCGTAGTGCAATTTTTCATGGCATCTTTAGAGAAAATTTTTCTTTTTGCAAATCTCTATTTTCTTCCTTGAATTTTGTTGGATCGGAATGCCTGATTTGAATGAATCGATAAGTCCACGGCAGAAACCAGGATCCGAATCTTTTGAAAGAAGAGATCACATTTGAGACAGTATGTGAAGAGGCGACGATTACCTTCATAGGACGGGGCTTAAACTTGTTGAAGACACCCATGCGATATGAATGTAGTATGATACCATCAATTCCGTACCAGGCAAAAAAACAAAATTTTCTAACATCAACCGGTCGTAATTTCCCTTAACATAGGTGAAAAGGGAAGAGAAGGGATAACCTCGGGTAGACCATCAATGACGATGTGGTAGTCGGAGCTAAGTGATTTCGCAAACTCAACAGAGGAGACGAATGATGGCACAATTATTGTTGGTGGAGAAAGAGGATGAGATGGATGGTTGAGTGAGCGCAAGGTGGATCGATGAGATGGTTCATCCCGTTTGTTTGGTCCCACTTCGGTCCACTTGTTTCCGCCATGACGACCATTTAGGGCTACCGGCGCTGGATGAGACATCGCATTGCGATTGATCATCTTGCGGTGACACGCCTCAAACTTGGGTAATTAAACCTGATAAGTTAATTATCTGAACTTTATATTGATAAAGTGATTACAGTAGAAGCCAATTGCAACTAGGCAAATAGGATTAGATAGAAAAATCAATAATGACAATTTATTGCAGAATATTCAAACTCAGGCAAGTTTAGCCAAAATTCAATGAATTGCTAAGTAAGTAATTGGATTGAATAAGTAAAGTAGTAACACAGAAAAAAAGATAAAACAGATAAAGCTTTAATTGTTTAATCCAAAAATCTTCAAATTACCAAATTCCGAACCGTAAATCTTTATTCATCTAATCATAGATAGATAGATAGATCAATTATGCTCTAATTGCGTGGCTTTTTCCCTTTGAGCTCTTGAGCCTTCTTTCTGATGAGCTCAAATTGATATTGAAAATCAGGATAGAGAAAAGGTCGATGATCATTCCGATGATCATCACAGCTGTACGATTCGGCATGATAAGCTGAAGAGTTGGTTTGAAAAAAAATCAATAATTTTTATATACCCGGTGTCGATACGGTGGCCTTATGGCGATTGATGGCATATCGTCTATAGAAGAGAATCGTTTTCTCGGCAATCTGAATTATACCTTCAAAATTTTAGGCTTATAAACACTTTGTTACCTCATCATATGTGTACTTGTTATGCCACATCGAGATCAACGCGTTAAACATTGCATATGGGCCCATGCATCCCGGCTTTCTCAGCTTTCCCACAATCGACAACTCTTCATATGTTAATCCGATATCTTCCTAAAATTTCTAGAATAGAAATATCCAATATATTAATCTATGATCAATGTTCCCAGCTTTTTATCTTTTCTTTACCTCATCAGTTTGAGCGATTTTCCCTTCAACGAGTGGCCGAAGTTCAGCGGTTGGCGCTGCGTCGATGACACTGAAACCTTTTTTGATACACTTTTCATACTGTATATTTTTATTATATAGATAAAATGGCTGTTCCTCTCAGAAATCCGGGT